CCGGGGGCGGCGGCAGGAGCTGGGGCCTGATCCTGACACTCCCCCCCACCGCCCCGGCACACGCACCTGCCGGAGCCCGGGCGGGCCCCCTCCTTCCCGGGTCGGCGTCGATGCTGAGCGGGCCGGGGGCGCTGCCTGCCTCCCCCGCACCATGGATGGCTTCTACGACCAGCAGGTTCCCTTCATGGGCCCCGGGGTAAGTTTGCCTCGTGCCCCTTCCCCGCCCCCCCGTCCCCCCCCGTCCGTGGGGGCACCCACCGCGTCCCTGGGGGGACCCCCCCACCCCGTGGGGGTTGGGGACTGCCGCCCTCCCGAACCATTCTCGCCCTGGTCCTTGCAGAAGTCCTGTGCTGAGGAGGGCCGAGGCCGGCCAGGGTCCGATAGGAAAAGGAAATTTTTGGAGACCGACCTGGCCCACGACTCGGAAGGTAGGCAGGGCTGGCCTGGGGGGCCATGGCCTCGCTGCAGCCCCGTGAGACTGCTCTCCTTGCGTTCGTCAGTTTAGAAATAATCCTGCGAATAATGGCAGTTTTATTTATTCTTCTGTGGACTGCATAAGTCTTTCACTCTGTTCCAGAGCTCTTCCAGGATCTCAGCCAGCTCCAAGAGGCCTGGCTAGCTGAAGGCAAGTCTTCACCTCCGCCTTTTGCCATGTAAAATCTCTCTGTGAGTATTTTTTTGAGAACCGAAAACGTTGTAAAACCACTTTTTGTTGTTGTTTTTTTAGCTCAGGTCCCCGATGATGAACAATTCGTCCCAGATTTCCAGTCTGACAATTGTAAGTGATTGTTCTGGGTTTTCATTCTTGGGGTGGAGGCAGGGAGGGGAGGGAATGTTTGGGTGCCTGTGCAAAAACTCGCACTGGGTTTGGAGCCGCTTGCTTGGGAAAGCAATTGTTGCTGGGGCTGAAACCGTGAAATCATGGACTTTTGGGAGCAAGCATGTGTGGTTTGGGTTCATCTAGATGAAACTTGCAATGTCCTGTCTTTAGTGAACGGGGAAAATTATAGCCAAATGCGTGGAAATAGCTTTAACTGATCTCTGGGCTCCTTGGAGCCTTGCTGCTTGTTCGTAGTAATGTTGATTTGCTTATAAACGCTCCTTTTCCTTTTCAAGTGGATGTGAGAGCCCGTGCTGGGCTCCTTGGTTAGCCACAATCTCTGCAGTTTCTGCAGCTTTTTACAGTCCTGGCCCAGCACTGTTGGCAAGAGCGGACCTGAGCGGTGAAACTTGAGCTGCTTTAAGCAGCATTAATCACTGGCAAGCGAGCGTGTTTAAAAGGAGGCCAGTGAAAATGTAGTCCCTCTCGAATTGCATAAGAGCGAGAGTTGGTTCTGAGCCGTTGTTCGTTGCTGGAACGGGTTAGCGGCGAGGGCAGGGACTGGTTAATGGCGTGTGGTGCTTGCGCGGCTCTCGGGCGCTGGTTCTCCTGGCATTGAAGGCTGGGTTGGAGGGGAAAGGGGGGGGGAAGATCAGGATGTTTGGAGTCGTTACCTGGCAAACAGAAGTAGTAACTTGGTGTTCGTGGCTGGGTTTTGCTGCTGAGCCAGACAGCTACAGAACTTAAAGGAAATCAAATTTAGCCTGCAGTCGAACAGATTTTTCATTCCAGCTTTGTCACAGCATGCAGCGAGGGTATCTTCTCCTACAGTAAACGCATGTTAATTATTGCTCTTTGATTACTTCTGAGTGGGAAGCTTGCCATTAAACTGTTCCAGACAGCCCAAGTTTTCAGATGCGCTTTTTTTCCTTGTCTCCCCTGAGATAAAAGGCGAGCCCAGAGTCAGAAACGCAACTGGCTGTTGACATCCTAGTGCAGCCCAGCAGCTCTTGCTTGGAGCGGTAGAAACTGCAGCGTGCGTGGGAGGGTGGCTCTTAGAGCTGAAGCTGTTTCCAGTGCCTTTTGGCAGTCTCTTGTTTCCTTGTAACCTGAAGAGCTCAGAGAGAAGAGACAAACTTTTCTGGGTGATACAGGGGAGGAAAAAGAGGGAGAGAAAAAAAAAAAAAGGCATTTGGTTGAAACTCTTCAAACGTTCTCCTGACCTGCTCGGCCTCTGCAGACCTGGTGTTGAAATGACTTTGTCACTTGAAAGGAGCTCTTCTTGCATGACTCCCTGCTGTAATAACCTTCCTTAACTTTCCTGGGGAGAGAAAGCAAAGGTTTCCCTTGCTGCTGCACAAGGGGCTGTGCTGGCTGTGGGGGGACTCGGACCGTGGTGGAGGGGGATGGGGAGCCCAGCTCATCCATACCGGCACTGGAAAGAGTTTAAAGAGGAGAGAGTCTCTAGCTTACAGCTTTCTGGCCCCATCTTCTTATTTCACTCTGGTTTTGAACCGTTTGCAGTGTAGGAAGAGAGAGAGGGACAAATCTGGTGCAGCCACCCCCCTGCACCTGGCTTTTGCTAGCAGGAACGTGTGCTTTCCTGGGCTGGGGGTCATATTGGGGTTCAGTGCCTCTTCACTCCAGGGGAAGGTAAATCCTTCCCTAGTCCATATGGACGTTTGCAGACATGCATTGGACTCAGTTCTTGCAGTCATATAATTCTGTGCCTTTCACCTGAGGAAGCTGCCGCTTTCTTTTATCCTGAGCAAACCAGTTCCATCTCCTACTCTGTTGCATTCCCAGGGCCAGGCTTCCCCAGCACAGCAGCAAAAAGGAACAAACCAGGCTCAGTTCTGACCCTGTTGCCCTGGGGAATGCCGCCGCCACATGTGCCGTGTCGAGTCACGGCGATGCTCCGAACTGCAGCATCATTCTTGCCTTGCTAAAAAACCCTCATTGCATGGGCAGCTTGGCTGCTGCCCGCTCGCTATTCCTGAGTCTGTAGCTGAGGTCCCTGGCAGACACAGGCTTAATATTGGGGTTTAGCACCAAAGTGCCATAACATGCTGGAGGGTGGTGGGTCGCTGCGCTGGGGAGGAAATCCTGCCATGGGGATGGGGAAAGCAGGGCTCCTCTGAATAAGGGATGCGTTGTTCTCAGTGCCTTGGACCGAGGAACAAGAGGCTGGATTCAGTGCTTAGAAGCTGGCCGGAGAAGTGGCAGATCCTCCCGGGAAGGCAAGGAGGCCGTGGGTGACGCTTGCAGAGCTCACCATGCTGGCCATCGTGCCACATCCCTGGCTGAGCATAGGTGCAGGTTTGCTGGCAGCACTGTCCTGGGGAGAAAGAAGGGTATATGTACAACGGTATATCTTGATTGGTTGTTTAAATAACTGGGAAGTGATGGGGTCATGCTGGGGAGATCAAGCATCATGAGAAGTTTTGCCTTTTGCGGGGGTTTGTTCCCAGGGGACTTGTGGCCCCTGGCCTGGGTGGCATGTGGCTAGAGCCACAGGCAGGGCACGGAGCGAGATTTCTTACACACCAAAATGAAAGCAGGAGGTTTGTTTCTGAGGAAGAGTTGTTTAAACAAAGGAAAGCAGGAGCCTGGTTTCTATTTCTGGCTTCTCTCCTGGCGTGACCTTGGGTGCGTCCTGTAATGCTGGGGGATGGAGGGGCAAGCAGGGAGCTTGGCTCCCAGGTGATGGCTTGAGTGGGTGCCAAGGTCCCCAGCCAGTGCCTGGGCTGGAAATGGTGGTTTTGTTGCCTTCCTCTTAGCTCGGGCAGCGAGTGCCACCAGCAAAGCCAGCATCCTCCAGGCTCGGCCTCTTAGAGGTCCCGTCACGCTGATGCTTGGGAACAACCTGCCCTGTCCCCTGCCAAGGGATTCACTGACAATTCAAGGCCCCAGACGGCTTTGGGGTGTCAGCTTTCCCACGGGAGACCTCTTGGCTGAAGGTTGGCGTTTGGGGCATCTCCAGCTTGGCTGGTGGTGCGGCACTGGGGGGCACGCCTGCACACCCCCCATCTTCCCCTCCTGGTTGTGGCGCCTTGCTGGTCGGGCACAGCAGCAGCACACATGGCTGGTCCCCTTGCCCGGCCTCCCCGGTGCTCTTCCATCCCCAGGGACTAAAGCAGCGCAGACAGGGGCCGTCAGGCACCCACGGGTGCTCTCACGGCTCCCGTGGCTCAGTCCTGGCATGGGTGTGCCGAGGCGTGTTCTCTGGCCCCGTCTGTAGTTAAGCTGCTCCCTCTGCCTATTTTTATATATATATTTTTTTTTTTTAGCTTTTAATTACAGTGCCGAGTGCAGGACTGGAAAGGTTAAAAGCACTCGTGCACCCAACGTGCCTTTGAGGCACTGGGGCAGGGCGTCTCCTTCCCCGGGAACCCTCCTGCCGCCTTTCCCGCTCCCTGCCTGCCCACTTGCTGCCAGGGGCCCAAAACCAGCTACTTCCCCCCCACCAAAAGCCGCACAACCAGCCTCGGTCCCCTCCTCGAGTCCCACCACCGGGCGCTCTGGCCTCACAGCCCCGGCTGGCCATGAGCTTGGCGGCAAGAACATGTCTTGCCGAGCAGCGCCGGCCGGCCCCGCAGTGTTTGTGTAAGGAATCCAAACGTTGCACAAAGTCTAGGCTTGGGCAGCTGGTCTCTGTTAGGATCCTAAGGCTCGTTTCCCTTTTCTTGAATGGCAGCGCTAAGCTCTGGGGAAATTTTTCTTTTCTTTTTTCTTTTTTTTTTTTTTCCCCTGGCCACATGAATGGAGCGCTCCAAATTGTTTGTGAATGGAGGGTGGTGCCCGCTCGGAGACTTTTTTTTTTTTTTTTTTTTTTCTCCATGAATAACCAGACCCTATTGTACGGCTGGCAGAAAAACAACTCGCTCCAACAACACGGAGCCTGTTAGGGAGAAACATGCCCGCGATAGGCAGCTGGAGCCCTTCCAAAGCCAGTTCCCCTTGCTTTCCTGTGGCTCGCAGGGCGCCCGGGCTTTGCCGCCGCTGCGCCGGCCCCCCATTAGGGCTAGAAATGCTGAGAGCGGCAAAACCTCGCTTGGGGGAGGTAGGGGGGAAGAAGGAGGAGGGGGATAAATCCAGCTTGGGAGCGGGTGGAAGGCGTGCGGGGGGCTGTGCTGGCTCAGCGCTGGGCTTTGTGTTTCAAATCCTCCTCGGGGGGTTTTATGCCCTTGGTACCAGCTGTGCCGGGCCCTTGCTGGGGTGGGGGGGAGTAGAGAGGGGAGTCAGCAGCTCTTTAAAGGTTTTGACAAATTAGGGGAGCAGCTAATTACCTGGCAAGCTGTGAACAGTTGTCCTGGAGCTATTTGCTCCTCTCCACTGTAGCTGGGCTGTGTTTAGACTTTGCATGAAGCTAATACTCCACTTCCGATTAGTCTTGGCTCTCCTCTGCAGGCACTATTTAGGTAAAGAACTCTGAGGCGCTTTCCCTTTCCTAGAACGCCTGCTTTTAGAAATTAATTAGGTTAAGCGTATATTACTCGGTTTAAAATTATATATAGCGAGGGGGCTTGGGGGGGCTGGGAAGGATTGGGGTTTAATGGGACGTTTGCCACTTGAACTCAATACAATTGTGGGACCCTGGGACTGGGTCCCCTTGGAGCACTGTCGCTGGGGGAAGGTGGATCCCATTTAGCCTCTGGCCAGCTAACTGGGAGCTGAGTATGTCCCTGCGAGGGCGAGCGGGTCGCTCTGTCCCGTTCACAAGCTCTTGGAGCTCCAGGTTGTCAAGCCCCCTCATTCCTTGCCCCACAGCTCAGGGAGGCAGCCGCTGCCTGCAGTGCCTGGGCATGTCTCCCCTCACTGACGGGTTTTTGGCTTGGCCCGGGCGCGTGTCTCATCCGAGGCTGTTGTTGAGATGCCTGTTCCCCTCTTGCAGCCCTTGCTGTGCCCCCTCTCACCCTGTGCCGTTCCCCTCTCGGATCCCAGCGGGGAATGACTCCCCCTCTGCCAGCGATGTCCTGGGCTGGTGGGATTGTCCCAGCCCTGGGACCTCTGCCATCCCCTGCAGAAGTCAGCCCTGCCACCCCGCCTCAGTCCATCGGCACGTCAGGGGCTGCCGGGGCACCGTCCTGCCGTGGTTTGGTTGCCTGATGCTCCTCTGGGGGGTGGTAATTTGGCACCTGATTCCCAAGCAAAGAGCCCCCAAGGGGATGCTCCCCAGGGGTGACATCCCCCATCCCCTTTTCCCGCACGGGGGAGCCCATATCCTCCTCTGTCTCGTTGCAGTGGTCCTGCACGCCCCACCTCCGGCAAAGATCAAGCGGGAGCTGCACAGCCCTTCCTCGGAGCTGTCGTCCTGCAGCCACGAGCAGGCTCTCTGTGCCGGCTACGGGGACAAGTGCCTCTACAACTGCTGGTAGGTAGCGCCGGGGCGGCCGCTTGCCCGCGGACCCCTTAGGTCACGGCACGGGGACTTGTCTCGTTGGTCGGCCTCCGCCAAGCGGAGATGTCCTCGTTAGCGTCGCCATCAGCCCCTGTCCACTCTGCAGTGCCTATGACAGGAAGCCCACCACCGGGTTCAAGCCATTAACGCCGCCCGCCACGCCGGTGTCTCCTGCGCACCAGGGATCAGCCCTGCCGCCGCCGCCGGCCCCGGCTGCGCAGGCAGCTGCCCATGGGGCGGCCCCGGTCCCACACCCGCTGCAGGAGCAGAGGCAGCAGACCTTCGCCATGCCGCGGCCGCCTCACCCACCTATGCACATGCCAAAGATGATGTCTGAAAACCAATACCACGCAGAGCACAGGTAAGGCTTCCCCCGCCCAAGTGAGCGCTGGCATCTTGCGGCTGTTTATGGGGACTTTGGCCCTCTTGGGATGGATCGGTGGCCTCAAGCTGTGGGGAGGGAAGGGGGTTGCTTGTCCCCTTGCTGCAGTCACAGACCGCGGGCCAGATGTTGCTGCCTGGGGGCCCATGGAAACCAGTGCGGCAAAACTTCCCACTGGGATCTCACAGCTCTTTCTCCCCACGAGGCAGCTCCCTGCGAACGGGGACCTGCTCCTCCCAGCCCCGGGGACACCGGGCAGACCCTTCGCCTCCCCCTCAGGAAAGGCGAGGGAGGCAGAGGCTGTCACCTGCATCCATCCCTGCGGTGGCAGCCGATGGTGCTGAGTCAGGGCTTCCGCTCTCCTCTCTCCCACCTGCCGCAGCGCTCTGCCGTCCAAGCTGAGCCCTGCCGGGCTGGGGAGCTGCAGGCATCCCCGTCCTGCCCCTGAGCGCCCCTGGGCTGAGGGTTGGTCCTTAGCTCCCACGTGCTTCGCGTGGCATCCCTGTGATTTTGGGGCTACGGAGGGAGAGACCCTGCTCCCCACTTCCTCTTCAAGCTGTGGCTTTATCCCCCATCAACCCTGCATCCCTGGAAGCTTTGCCAGTCCACTCCCTCGTCCTGGGTTTGCTCGCGCTATCAGTAGGTGGCATGGTGCAAGTCACAGTCGACCTCCAGCTTTGCTTGTGGCGTCCTGGATGCCCTTTGCTGTGGTGATGGCTACCATGTCACCAGCAGTGGGGTGTCCCCTTTGGGCATGGGGCTGGATGTGGCAGCCCAGCAAAAGCCCCGTGCAGCGGGACCATGGAAACCCTCAGGACGTGCCCACAGTGGGAGAGCATCCCTCCGCGGCGAAGTGGGGCTCGGCTCCGGGCGACCTTTGAGCTATGCGGGGGTTTGGCTGTGACCCCTTGGGAAGCGCAGTGCCAGCATGGGGCTTGGGTTTCACTCAGGAAGGGCAGAGGGACACAGCTCGGAAATGGAGTAATCCCAGCCCGGCAGCTGGGAGAGCTCCAGTTACAAAGCCAAATGGCACACGGCCGGCCGAGAGGAGCCGGGCACGGAGATCGGAGATCGCCTTTCAAGGTGCCGGAGGACGAGGGGGATGTGGCAGCACCCCCTCGAGATGGTCCCTTATCCACCGCTGCCAGCAGAGACTGTGCTGGGGCCCAAGCTGGCGGTGGCAGCACCCCAGAGCTGAAAATAGTGCTCCCTGTCACTGAGTTCAAGGTTTAATCCCAGCCGCGCAGGCGGATTAGCGGCCGGCTGGAGCTGCGGAGTGGATTTGGCTTTGCGTAAGCGCCCGCCCGGGTGCAGCATCCCCTGGGCCCCGCAGCTCTTGCCCTACCACCCCAGGGGCAGACTTTACTGGTTTACGGAGACTTTTACTGTTGTGGGGTGGGTTTTTGTTTCCTTTTTCCACTCCTATACAGATATCCCCGCCACAGCACGGGGCTGCCGTCACCCGAGGTGCATAGTGCTCTGCAAAGAGCTGGCCCATATGTTGTCCTGCTCCTCCGGCGGGGGGGTCCTCAGCGCTTGGAGGGGGATGGGGCTCCCTACCACCCCACTGGGTCCCCCCAGACAAGCCCTCGTGGTGGCTGTGCTCCCGAGGAACCGTCCCAGCCCACTACGGGTGGGACACAACGCCACCCAAACCACCCTGGGAGCACCCTGGGCTGAGGGCACCGAGCCGGCGTGGGGTCCCGGTCTGGGGCGGGAACCAGCGGCGTGCCGGCAGGGCTGACCTTGCCACCCCTCGGTAACACCCCGTCCCTCTCCCCTCAGGTTTCAGAGGCAGCTGTCTGAGCCCTGCCACCCCTTCCCACCGCAGCCCGGAGTCCCAGGGGACAGCCGCCCCGTCTACCACCGGCAGCTGTCGGATCCCCTTGGCCCCACTGCCCCACACCCCCCTCAGGGATTCAAGCAGGAGTACCACGACCCGCTCTATGAGCATGGTGGCCCAGGGCTGCCCGGCCCCCCCAGCCATGGCTTCCAGCCCACCATGGGCATCAAGCAGGAGCCCCGGGACTACTGCATCGACTCAGGTGGGTGCGAGTTGGGGTGGGCAGCCGAGTGCCAGCGCTTGGTGTGGGGGGGGTACGTGTTACACCAGCAGCACCCAGGGGAGCAGAGCCATCTCTGCTGTCTGTGGCTCATGGGCAGCAGCACGGCGGGTGCAGGGTTGAGCCTCAGGCAGTGGGTGCCATGTCACCCTGGGACTTCCACGGTGCAGGCTGCTGTTTCGCCTGGTAGATGATCTCTCTCTTCCCCTCCCTCCCCTTTCCTTTCCAAAGCCGGGGTGGGGGGATATAGCAGGCATTCACCAGATGCCGCACGGCGTGGTCTGTGCCATAGCCACGGGCTGGGGTGCCCCATGGCACCCGCAGGGTCCCCCCGCAGCCCTGGCCTGGGGCTAGCTGTGATTTCTGGCTGCTGGACCCCACCAGCATCACGGAAAAATCCTCTAATCGCCTTAGGACCTAAAAATACCCTGACCTCGGGATGGAGGGTGGCACGGCCGAGCAGATGGCAGGGGAGGTGCGGCAACGCCTCCCTTCCTGCGGGGCCCGAATTACATGGTGAAAACCCGAGCTGACTTAGACCTTGCTCCCAGTGCTCATTCCAGTGGCCCCCCACTCCCCCTAAATCGTGCTGGTTTTCCCCCAAGGCTGGAGGTGGGTGCATGGCCCAGAGTGTGCTGGGGTGGGGGAGATGCCCAGGCTTGGCTACAGGATGTGCTTGGGGCGGAAGATGTTGCTGAGCGCTCAGTGGGACCCACGGTACGTACGTCCTTAACGCTGCTTTCATCTCCCTCGCAGAAGTGCCTAACTGCCAGTCCTCGTACCTGCGGGGGGGCGTCTTCCCCAGCAGCCATGACGGTGAGTCACGGGCATCCCTGGTGTGTTCTGTCCCATCCCTCCCTCAGGGCAGGCAGACCCCCCCTGCCTCACACCTAGCAGAGCTGCTGGGCACTCTGAAAATGCCCACGAGAGCCTACATGCAAGCAGCACCAGCACCACTGCTAAAAATAGGGTCTGTGCCATGCAGCCGCCAGCCCCCGCGAGCATGCTACGAGGGCATGGCACCTCCGTGCCACGTAATCTGGGATAACGCACCCAATATAGCTACTAAGAGGGTTTTGGTTCCCCCAGCTCCCCAGGGTGAGGGGAGGACAGAGCTGCGTGGCGCTCGGCCAGCAAGCTGGTGAGATGCCACTGAAATAACTGGGGATGGGGCTGCTCCTGGCACTGGGGGACAGGGTCTTGGTGCTGGATTGGGCCAAGCCAGAGGTTTTTTGGGGTCTGGCTGGGGTGGTGTAAGGGTCCTGTGATCACCGAGGATCTTTTCCCCTTAGGATTTTCGTTTGAAAAGGACACACGATTGTATTTTGATGACACATGTGTGGTACCGGAGAGGCTGGAGGGTAAGAATCCAGCCCCAGAGGAGGGCTGGGGGGTGACCAGGGCTCACGGAGGGAGATTCGGGGCTGGGCTCCACAGCGGCTGGCTTTTCGGCCAAGCTGTGCTGGCACGGTGCTCTTGAGAGCTGCTGAGCATCATCCTGCATGGCTGCTCGGCATCACCGCTGTGCCCCATCCCCATCCCTGCCACCCACCCTGCGCCTCCCCTGCTTGCAGCGCCAATCCCAGCACCTCTCCCCTCTCTGACCCTGTGGCCTTATCCTGCACGGGGGGGTCCCAGCACAGGAGCGAGCCCAGTGTTGCCGTATGTGTCCCCAGCTGGAGGTGGCACAGCCCGGGAGGGGGGCAGAGCTGGGTTGTTTAACCAGCTGTGTCTCTGTGCGGGCAGGTAAAGTGAAGCAGGAGCCCACCCTGTACCGTGAGGGCCCTCCCTACCAGCGGCGCGGGTCCCTGCAGCTCTGGCAGTTCCTGGTCACCCTCCTGGACGACCCCGCCAATGCCCACTTCATTGCCTGGACTGGCCGGGGCATGGAGTTCAAGCTGATCGAGCCCGAGGAGGTACGGGATGGGTCCTGCTCCAGTGCCCAGCGAGCCAGGGCTGCAGCCTGGGAGCAGCCGCGGGGTGAGACTGGGGGGGTCTGTGGGGAGGCCGGATCCTTCCCATGCAACACAGCGGCTCACGCTTGAAGCGAGACACGTGTCTTTACTCTCTGAGCAGCTTTTGAGGGTGAGAGGGGAAAAGCCAGTCAGCCGTCTGCGCTAAGCAGCTGTAGAAATTTGCCTTTAATTTCCTCTGCTGCCTCGGCACGGCACGCGCTCTGCTCCTGGAGCCGCTGGCGGTCACCGGCCACAGTGGCGTTGCTCCCGGGCCCGCCACTCAGCCATGGCTCCCTCCCTCCGAAACTGCTCCCATCCTTCACCCTGGGTGCCCAGCGACAGCTCCCTGCCGGCATGGTGCCGTGCTGGAGCCGTGCAGCTCTCTGCAGGAGGGTGACACAGAGGAAGAAGCTGTTTGGGGAGTAATTGAAAGCAGCTGTAGTGCCGAGCTGCGCATTGTGGGTAATTACCCGTAATATCTCTTACGCCATGCATGGATATTGTGGTTTATTGAAGCGGCTTTTTTGGCAGGCTCCCCTAATCAAATGTCTTTTGATTCGGCTCCTGGTTTGGTGGTGGCGGCGTTGTGGCAGCCGCTGCTTGGAGCTGGAGCATTTATTGCAGCAGGCAGAGAATTGCTTCGGGACCGCAGTGATGCTTTCACCCCTGGCTGCTCCAGCGCCCAGAAATGAACCCCTACCCCACATTTCCATTGTGATTTCCTTCATGGATCCAGGGCTAAGCCCTGCTGGAGCCTTCACGGCTGCATCTTCTCTCCCCGCAGGTAGCGCGGCGCTGGGGCATCCAGAAGAACCGGCCTGCCATGAACTACGACAAGCTCAGCCGCTCCCTGCGCTACTACTATGAGAAGGGCATCATGCAGAAGGCAAGTGACCCCACTACCACGGTGGGGTGGAGGATGTGACCGTCCCCTGCTGTCACCCCAGCATCCTGGGGCACAGCAGGAGGGGGGCTAGGTTCAGCATTTGTCGTGCTGTGCTTGTTATTCCCCGGGGTCAGGGGGAGAAGGTGCAGGGCACCTCTCATGCCCTCCTCCTCCTTGCAGGTGGCCGGCGAGCGGTATGTCTATAAGTTCGTCTGCGACCCCGATGCCCTCTTTTCCATGGCCTACCCCGACAACCAGCGTCCCTTCCTGAAGACGGAGCCCGACTGCCCGGTGCCCGAGGAGGAGACGGTGCCGCTGACGCACTTCGAGGACAGCCCAGCGTACCTCCTGGAGATGGATCCCTGCGGCAGCCTTCCCTACGCGGAGGGCTTCGCTTACTGACTCGGCCAGCCAGCAGAGCCACGAGCACTAGCGCATCCACTTTGGGCAAATACGGTTTTGTAAAGAATATTTTTTGCTGTTCATAAGGAAAAAAACCAAACAAAAACCAAGAAACAAAACAAACCGTGCGCGCACACACAAATTGGAGGAATCTAAAAGGCCTGGTGTGTGTCGCTGCCGAATTCCCACCCTTACTGTCCAAGGGCTAGTGCGTAGGACTGCCCACAGCTGGCACCTCCCGCCAAGCATCGGCGTGATGTTTTGGGGCGACGGGAGCTAAAGATGCAGTCTCTGACCCAGGCCCCGTTCCTTGCCAGCACCGCGAGGGCCGACGGCTCCGGCAGTGTCCCGGGACTGGGCTGAGCCGATGTGGCCACCTGGCCAATTGTCACGACAATCTGCTTTGCATCGAGCACGATCTGCGTAGCTGCCTTGTGTGGTGGAAAGGGCTTTGATTTGCACAGAGGAGGGATGCGGGGCTGGGGGGGCCACCTGGGCCAGCACCCCGGGGCTGATGTGCGCAGCATCCTACCCCAACCCCGAGGAGCCTTCTGCCTTCTTCCCAAACCACCCTCCCCACCCCATCCTCGTGATATAACCTGATATAATGGTTTCTCAGCCCCTCCCAGGTCCTCTCTGTGCCCCTCTTGCTCCTCCTCCCCAGCTCTGGCTGTGGGCCATGGGTTGCATTTCAGGGGAGGAGATCTGACCTTCTTTTTTTTTCTTTTCCTTTTTTTTTTTTTTGATGTTTTAGGAGGAAAGAAAAAAAAAAAAGGTTTCTAAACTGATTTTTGTAGATTTTTTTGTATTTTAAGGCAAAGCTATTTTTTTTTTTTTTTTTTTTTTTTTGCAGCCTGGCTGCTGTTCCCAGAGCCCCTGGGGACACCCCCCTGGCTTTCCCAGTGGCATGCTTGCAGGGGGACCCCTCGGTGCCCACAGCTCCCCAGGATGGCTGCCGAAGTATCTGGTCCACTCCATTTCACCGCTCCAGTCCTGTTTCCCAGGGGAACCGGGGCTGAACCCCGGTGCCAGCTCAGCTGTGCTCCCCTCCCCTGCTCAGCATGGCCTTGGAGCTGGGCTGTAAGGCTGCGGGTGGGCAGGGACAGTGGGGTCCCTCACCCTGCTTCCCGGGTACCCTGCTTCCCTCCAGCTCCCCCCTCCCAGCTGCACCTCCTAACACTCCTCCACCACTCATATATCCATACCTGCCTATCCCCCTCCCTCCACTGGCTACATGTTTTTGTTGTAAATGCTGTATAGGAAATTTTTTCTCTTCCTTAGTTAGCTTTGGTTGGATTTTTTTTTTTTTTGACTGATTCATTCTTTTTTGGGGAAGTATGAAGATTAACTCTGGGTAGACTCAGTTGCTCTCCCCACGGTGGCTGCAGTGGCCTGTACCGGTGGGGAGCATTCGGTTGTGGGAACCCTACCTTGGGGACAGGGTTGTAACCATTTGCTCAGTGTGGCAGGTCTACAGTGCAGAAGGGGTTAATCTGAGGACTGATTTGAAATAATCTTTACTCGAGCAGGGCTATGTATCTCCTGCAAAGCTGCATTACATTCTGTACTGTGTACAATAAAGGATCTTGCTTTCTGTTCCTCCGCGGCTGCCTGGGTCCCTGCTTTGCCTGTGCTGTGGGATGTTGCTGGGGCTGGGAGGGAGCCTCTGGCTGGGCTTATGGGGGCAGAAGTGGTCCCAGGGTACAGCCCATCACTCAGGGCATGTGGGGCCATGTGTCCTTTGCAGGAGCTGGGACCAGGTGGGGGTCCAGGTCACCAGGGCAGGGCTGCCCTCTCCCCAGTGCTGTTGCTCCCAGGTCTGGATGCGGCCGTGGCTCTCACAAAGCCACATCCAGTGAGAGGGTCCATTTGAAATGGGGGCAGCTTCTGCCCAGCAAGGTGCAATTTAATATTGCCTCCTTGCAGAAGTTTCTCAGCTGCCTCTGTCCCCTTTGCTCTCCCTGGGAAACCCAAGCTCCCCACCATTGCGCAGGGCTAAAGCTGGTGGGGACTTCTCAGTGCTGAACCCAGAGAGGAAAGCCCCTTAGATGCTCCTAGCAGTGGTCCCCCAGCACTTACTGGCCCCATTTCTAAGCAGGGAAAAATCCCCACAGAGCAGCAAGGTCTGCAAAAGGCTGCAGGAGGTGGGTGGAGGGCAAGGCCCTACTCTATGAGGACCTGACTCAGTTGAAGCGCCTGTGTTTCCCCTGACAGGCTGGAGAAAAGCTCAAATGCCCTAGAACTGCCTGGTCATGTTGGCCTCTATTTTAGTTGGTTAAAGCAGGTTCAGATGGGATATCCACCAGCTCCCAGCCCCATTGCCCGTGGCGAGGTGATGCTGCTGGTGACATTAATGGCTCTGCTCTTGCAGGCTGTTTTCACAACCCAGCCACACTCCATCCCTAGACATGGCAGTGGAGAGATGCAAGGTCCTTATGTGCTGCAATGCTCTTTGTATACTGCACCTCTCCTCAGTCCATGCCTGGCTGCCAGCCATGTTGCTAATAAGTTCTTGAGCTGCTCTTCTTTCATCGTGCCCAAAGTACGAAGCTGAACAGGGAAGCGTGGCTGCCTCCTAGCCCAGGCAGGGCAAAGCAGTCTCCCAAACACCTAGCAAAACCGATTAACCCAGCATGAAGCCTTCCAGGAGTTATATCAGCTGCTCAGCCCCTGAAGACATCTTGCACTCCCTAGGCAGCTCCATGGCACCAAGCCTTAGTGTTTGGCAAGTGAGCCCCTAACTGATGCTTACATAGGCTCTCCTGTGTGGGCAACCTGTGGCCATTTAGCAGCAGGGAGCCATTTGGGTGGGAAGGAGCTGCAGGATGAGTCCTTCTACCTGTGCTGGGGCCAGGGGCTGCGGCAGGACTGCTGGGCGACTGCAGGCAGCAGCTCTGCCTGCACCCTGCAGCCACAAGGGGCTCTCAGTATGGTGAACCCTGCCCCTAGCCCTGGGGCACTCATCCATGGCTCCTGCCAGCCTCCCAGCCCTATCCCATTTTTTTTATTTTCTACAAAGCTTTGTCCTCTGCCTATGGCCACAAAAATCAAGTTAAACAAGAGGGGATGTGAAGAATCTTGCTGGCAATCTGAGCTCCAGACAGCGCCCAATAATCCCACCTCAATGGGGATTTCAGCAGACTGAGTCCTGGTGATCAAGATGGAGCAAGGGGAAAACGGGGCCACCGGCAGCGCAGCCGGCAGGCAGATGGCCTGGGGCGGTGGGACCTCAACCTGGCTGCAGCATGAGTATTTGGGACTGGTTATGGACAGCGAGGATGAGCAGATTGGGCAAAGCCTTCACAGAGCAGCTTGGCATGCCACAACCCAACCGGGCCTACAAATCCTGCTGCAGGCAGGGCTGGGGGGGGGGAGGGCAAGACCATCCCATGTGCTGCTCTTGCTGAAGGGTGAGGATAGGACAAGAGGTGTTTTTGTGGTTTTTTTTTTTCTATTCCAGCCTGTCAGTGTGGGACAAAAGGGCTAAGACCCCAGAGGGTTTGATTCCACACTGGCTTTTAAGTGCTCAGGGCATCAAGAATTTGCTCCTCCTCTGAGCCTGCTGCACATCACACCTCCCTCTGCTGCACACAGGAGGTTTTTGCTCCCTGCAGAGAAGATGGAGCTGCCTTGAGTGCATAGTCCCACTCATCTCCCTGCCCCAAGGCTGCTCAACGTCCTGCCTGCAGGCTCCCAGAGATGGGGACAAGAGCTCCCAGGCAGCCCGGAGGCTGGGCTAGCCTTTGCCAGGAGTTGGGGAGATAGAGGGGAAGCAGAAGGAAGTGTGCTCTCTGCACACCTCCTGCCCCATCAACCACTGCTCCAGGGCATGGTGACAAGCCCTCCTTGGCCACACTTTGGCATGCAGTGGAATGGGGATCCAGGCCGGGGAGCACTGTCACAGCCACTGCTGCTTCCCTCCAGGACCAGGAATGGCTGGGGCCACCACCGCTCCATCCCCTGGACCAGCCACCTTGGTCCTCTCCCTGCACACCCCAGCACTGTCTGCCTCCTGCCTTCCTCCCGCTCCACCCTGGCTGCTGAGGATAAAGAGGAGCGAGCAGACAAGATGGGAAGGATGAAGTAGCATTTTTGGGGACGATTCAGCCATCCAGGCTGGGCAAAACCCTGATGCTGGTGTCAGCCTCTGCAACCCTTCAGATAGCAGCTTCCACCTCCTACTCAGGTCGTGTGGTAACAAGACCATCGGTGATTCAGGGTGAACAACGATCTGCAATACTGTGTGAGCAGATAATAAAATGGCAGCTGGTACTGAATGGGGATAAATGTGTTTTTCCTATTTTCTTCTCTTTGCAGTCTTATAATGTGCACCAAGCTATTCCCTCCCTGGAATAAGAGCTCAGCTTTTACCAGATAGTCCAAAAGCTGTTCAAATGAGAGGCGCACATTAAAAATCATTTGGGAAAGAGGAGCCCGTAAAAGGTAGAACATCATTACAGCCCTTTACACATCCATAATTCACTGAGAGCATTTCTGCTCTCCCCACCTCAGAAGGATATAGCTAGACTGGAAAAGGTTCAAAAAGCAATCGAGATGATAGCCAAAGGTCTGCAGTGGCTCTTATACAAGAGTGTATAAATAGACTAGCACTTCCATCTGGGGCAGGATTTGTGGCTCAGGGACTTCATATTTAATAGCCCATGGTGGAGTTTTCCATCCTTGACTGGAAGAGCATTTGTGGGAAGAATTAACTGCCCACGTGGCTTGTTCTTATGGCAGCCGGCAGGACCGGCAAACCTAGCGCGGCCGCCAAGACCAGAGGTGCCGCATGGTCGGTGGCGGCTCTGCACGAGCAGCGAGCCACGGCTCCCACCTGGCCAACGTCCCTTTGTCCCTCACGGTGGCCTCATGCCTGGGCTTTGCAGTTTGTGCGTGCGGCTGCTGGCTGCCCTGGCCAGGGAGGTAGGTCACATCGCAGCACTTCCTCTCTTCCCTAGCTCGTCAATCACTTGATTTTTTTTCAATAAGTGGGTTTAATTTGGCTTTTAAATACCTGGAGCAACATGAGTGGCTGCATGCCTGAAGGCAGCTTCAATATGGGTGAGCTCCAGCAAAAAAATACA